GGGCGGTGAGGGCCCGGCCGGCTTTGGCGTGGAGGAGGGGGGGGAGGAGGAGGCGGACGGCGACGAGTCTGAGGTGGCCGCCCAATCTGACGTCAGCGCCAGCTGCTGCAGCGGCAGCGCGAGCAGCAGCAGCAGCGGCGGCGAGAGCGACCGCCACGGGGGCGCCGCCGCGCTGCCGCCGGGCTCGCGGGGCGGCGCGACGCGCCGCACGTGCGTGATATGCCTGGAGAGGTACAGGGCCGGAGAAAAGGTGTCAGTGCTGCCGTGTGCCCACAGGTTTCATGCAAAATGCGTCGGCTCCTGGCTCGCCGTGCGCCGCTTCTGCCCCGTCTGCAAGCGCGACGCGACCGAGCCCCCGCCACAGCTGCCAAGCGGCGGCGCCTCGTCAGCCGCCGCCACGTCAGCCGCCGCCACGCCTGCGCCGGGGACGGCGGCGGTGCACGAGGGGGCCGCGCCGGTCGCGGGTGTGGGCGTGGGTGCCGGGCGGGGGGATGCAGGCGGTGGCGGCGGAGGGCGCCTGGGCGGCGGTTGGCTGCGGCGGCTGGCCCGCAGGATGCGCCGCGGCGCGGCAGAAGCGGCGGCAGCGGGGGCCGGTGGGGCGGTCCAGGATATAGAGGCCGGCGGTGGCGGCGGCGGCGGCGGCGGCGCGGTCGTGGCTTTGGCCGAGCAGCAGCAGCAGCAGCAACAGCAGCAGCAGCAGCAGCAGCTGGCGAGCGAGCTTACTGCGCCCCTCTTGCCTGGTGGCAGCGCCGGCGCCGGTGGTGCGGGCGCCGTTTGAAGGATACCGCTCCCAGCGCTGCTGTGGCGGTGAATGACCCGAGCGATGGGGCCGCTGCTGCTTGCGCTCGCCGATGCCTCCACATGTCGAGCTGCGTGGGCGGCGTCGGCGGCCAGCGGCTGCTCTCGATTGGCTCCGTCAATGTCATGCTGATGCCTCGTCAGCTGCATATTGTACATACCCCCTGAACCGTAGTCATTAGGCGCCTGTACCATTTCATGCAGTGCGGGGTGCGGTGGTCCATGGATTGCGTCATGACCGCGCTTGTGTCGTTGTTGTTGACGTCGTTGCAGTGCTGCAGCTTTCATCCACGATAACATCCGGCAAAAACCAATACGGCAGCAAAGCGCGCACAGCAGGCCCCCCAGGCACCCTGCGCAGCTACGCGGGGCGGCCGTCGGGGCTGCGACCATCAAAACAATTTCAGAGTGTGGCCTTGTGCGCGGCTTGGCGCCAGCAGGCTCTGAGCCCTGCATTCCTTTCTTATCAAGAGCTGTGGATTGCACGACTTAGGAGTGAAGTGTAATTTACTTGCAAACAAATCGTCTACTTCAAGGCTAGTGCTTCCAATGGACTCAAAGAGGGTACCCCAAATCTGACTGCCTTTCAAGATTCAAATGGGCATTTCAACAGCGGCACGACGTGCATCACAGCAGCACGCTGGCGCACCGCCCAGATCCGCATGTGAGCATCCACGGGCCGTGTTCATGGCCCCACGCCTACCCCACCAGCACCGTCGGCCGCTGCAGGTGGTGGCTTGTTGTGCTCTGGAAAGCGTCCGCTACCGCCACCACAGCAGCGTCCGCGCCCGGTGGCCCAAAAATCGAGTTTGACAACGGCCGCAGCCCGGACCCGGCCCCTGTTGGTGCCACTGCGCTGCCGTTGAGGGGAGGGAAGCCGCCCTTCTCCACCGCTGTCGGTGACCGTTCGCCGCCGCCGCTGGCGGGTGGGGCTGACATGTTGCTGCGGCCGACGAGCTGGGCAGGTGTTGCAGCGCCCGCAACACCACTAGTCTCCGAGTCACCTGCCTCGGACTGCACGAAACCAACAGGCAGGACGACCTCGGGTATCCCCAGGAGGGAGGGCAGGGCGTCCAAGCCCGCCGCGCCGCCGCCGCAGCCCTTGAGCAGCGCAGAAATCCCGTTGCTCTCAAAATAAGCGGTGACCTGAGCGATGGGCCGATGAGGGGCGGGCAGCGGAAGTTGTGTGGTCGTCGCGGCCAAAGCCTCCAGGGTGCTAATCGATGGCAGTCAGGTGAAGACCCAAGCCGCAGTCAACACCGCTCTCCTGAGGTTGCAAGCACGTCTGACCGCCAAACCTCGTTCTCAAGCAATTGTGCCATCAATCACCCGTCAAACTCGTCAACACCGCTCTCGAGCCGGGCGGAGGCCGCCTCTTGCCTGACAAGCAAGCTCCTGGCGCAGGCGCTGAGCTTTGAGGTATCCGAGGGACGGCATCACCTGGCCCAGCCTGAACATATTGTACCACCTGGCAGTACGGGCGGTTTGGATGGTACACGGGCGAAGTAACGTACGCTGCGAAGCACAGATCTGCATTACTGTGCCGGGTACACCCCATGGCTGCTGGCCAAAGCAGTGCGTCCTGGCAGTGCAGGCTGGTGTGCACTGTTTGCAAGGTTGCTCCAGGCCAGAGCTTGAACCATCCAACCCGTGCGCTCTGCATTGTCTTGCCTGGTGTTAGGTCTGACAATGCCTGCCATCCAGAGCCCTTCGAAGCTGAGGGCAACCTCGGATTCCAGGATCACGGTCAGCAGATCCTCGGTCAACTCAGCACCTGGGGGGAAAATGAGTGAGAGGCCAAGAGGGCACATCTGCCTCAATTGATGATGGGGTGTGCACATGGGCCTTGGGCATACACTCAGACGGATCAGACATGGCAGAAAAAAAGGGCGAGCTGTGACATTGCAGCCGATGCCCTGCCATCAGCAGAATTTTGCATTGCACTGCACAGCTTCCTCTGCAATCATGGTGGCTAGCAGCTCGGTTCCGGCAAGCATTTCTTCCTCATCAGGGGCAGAGAAAGCTCTGTACAACCCACCGGGTGGCTCAGGCAGAGGCCCAACAACGCGCAGACCTGCCGTGCGGTTCAACACTCCCACCAGCTCAGGCGCCGTGCGTTCCAGAAAACCGACCTGCAGCGATGTCAGGGTGACGCCCAGGCCAGCCCTGAACTCATCCGCCGACATGAAAGGCACGGCATATGATCTTGAAATTGGCTGCTGCTGCTTCTGCTGCTTCTGCTGCTGCTGCTGCGGCTGCTGCTGCTGCTGCGGCTGCTGCTGCTGCTGCTGCTGCTGCTGCTGCTGCTGCTGCTGCTGCTGCTGCTGCTGCTGCTGCTGCAACAGGGATGGCGGCGGCGATAGTGGTGGTAGCTGGCTGCTTCGGACTGCGAGGGCGGCGGAGGTTGCGGTTTGCGGCGCCTCGAGAGCACGGGCGACGGCCAGGCAGTCCAGGGCTTGCCGGCAGAAAACGCCGGTTTTGTCGAGGGAGGCGGATGCCTGGATTGGAAGAGATTGGAGGTGTCGATGTTTGTTTGTTGGGTTGGATGGTGCGCGGCTGTTGTGCAGCACGGAGAGAGGTGTGGGTGTGGCGGGCACCACCCGTCCTTCAGGGGGCTGGTCTGGCGCCATCCATGGTGGCGCCACTGGGCAAAGCGCATGCAGCCGCGCAGATCTCTGGCGATGAGGGGCATGGATGCTGTTACCCCATCGAGTGTCCGAACCCCTGCTCGAATCAGGCAGGGTGTGAGACGGAATCTCGCCTGCAAGACGCCTGTCTGTGGGATGAGGCCGCCGCTGGGCCGGAAGGCAGTGGCGCCCGTCGTCACGGCGGGGCAGAGGATGGAGCCCCAAGTCTCACTGCGGATTTCACAGCGCCGTTTGCGCGGCCGCGCGCACTCGCACGTGCGCTGTTTGTGGGGTGCGAGCTAGGGCGCGTGCGCAGACCGCGGCTGGGGCTGTCAAAATGGCAATGCACCCCAAAGCAGCCTGGACGGAGCGTGTTGCACAACTGAGTGGTAGCCCCCAAGCCTCGGGAGTTACCTGCCGATTGCAAATGGCAGGAGGCCTGCATCCAGAGGGGGCCAATTCAGTTTGCTTGCGTCCGTCGTGTGTGCCAAGCGAGCCTGCTGCCGGCCCAATCCATTGCCACAGCATCAGTCGACCAGCCGGGCGCCTTGCATTGAACGGCAGCCTCGCACCCTCGCAGTATCAAAATCAGGCCAAAAGAACCGCACGTACCTGCGACCACAGAAGCAGCAGAGCCGGCGCTGCTGCCACAACTTCCGGTTGTTGGGTCCCAGGGGTTTCGCGTCAGGCCCCCGAACCAATCGTCTCCCCACGCCAGCTCCCCTGTGTGCAGGGCCAGCACCGGGTGCCAAGACCGTCATGCATTCAGATGGTGCATTGCGCGTGGCGAGGCCGCATCAGGTGTGGAGGGGCACACCCATCAACTTGATGTCTGTGTCAACAGTAACACTAAAGTGCTCACAACCTCACAGACGACGCCACAGCGAGCCGTGGCTCCAACCGCCGCTGAGGCCCACGAATCCAGTCACCTGTCGAAAGCTTTGCAGAGTGGACCGCGCCGGCGGCGCCGCTCAGCGCCTCAAACGCCCACGACGGGCGGTGGATGACCCTTCGGGCCAACGCGGCGCTGCCCCAGGTGGTGGGGTAGCCGGGCACTGCAAAGATGTCCTTGAGGCCTGCTCATGAGGCGGGCATGCGTGTGTGTATGTTGGGCGTTCTGATGGCTCAGCTGGGGTTTTTGGAGAGGTGTGCGCTTGCTTTGCAGATGAAAACAATGCTGATCAATGAGAAACCAGTCAATCAGGGGTAGGAGGCATCGTCAAACAGCTCAGACTTGCCATATGGGATGCCCAGCAGTAGTGACGACCCCGCATCGTCATCCGCCAACGGAGTACTGCCACCAGTGGCGTTTAGGGGCGGACCTGCACCGCTGGCCTGCCGGGAACCTGCTGCCTGCGGCGATTGCGCCCCGCCTGCTCGCTGCAGCTGGGCGTCTGCGCGTCGGGCTGCGTCGGCCGACAGGGCGTCAGTGTATGTCACCACGGCGCGCAGCGTGGGGTTGTGCCTGCGTGCGGTGGGCAGTGCAGCGCAGCGAGGTCGTGGTTTGGACTGCTGGTGTAACACGCCTGCTGCCAGAAGTTTGAAACAAGTGATGCTTCTCCAACAATTGGGCCGGCCGACCCTGCAGCCACTTGCTGCTTGCGTGCACGTTCCGCACGTCCATCATGCAGCAACGCACCTTCGCAAGCGGCGGCCAAACAGGGCCCTCAGCCCGTCCGCCGTGGCCGAGCCATTGCGCAGCATTGCAGCGAAGTCAAACACCGTGGAGAACGCCAGGCGGTCATCCTGGTCGTCGCCAATAATCTGGGCCGAGCCTGAATGACCAGCAGTGCTGCTGCTGTTGGTGCCGCGCGCATCCTCCGTTTGGGTCGGAGCGCCCGTCGCGCCGCCCGGGGACGCCTCGGGCTGGACGTCAGTGGCAAAGGCCGGCTGTGGCGCCAGCTGGGGCGGCTGGAGGCTCTGCAAAAGGGGGCCCAGGGAGAGCTGTCCGACGGGGCAGGCGGCTGCGGGCGCCGGGGCCGCCCCTGTTGCTGCACTGCTCAAAGCGGCGGCTGCCTGTGGAGTCTGGGGTTCAGAAGACCCAGAAGTGCCGGCTGCAGAGGAGCCGCCGGCTGTGGGGGCTGCAGCGGCGGCGTTGACTGACGCGGTGTCAATGCGATCCAGACGCAGCAGGGTGTCCGCTAAGGCGTCTGCCTCCTCAAGAGACTGTTTGGGTTGTTGAGATTGGGCCATAGGTAGTGCCATGTGTGTTTGTGCGCGTGAGCGTGCATGCGTGCATGCTGCACTTGTGTGCGCGTGAGTGAGAATGGGACGGTGCTGGTCAAAGCGTGTAAGACATAGCGCACATGAGCAGGGTGATCCTCTTGTACTGATTCATGGTCGTCATACGACGGAGGCACACAGTTTTTTTGTCCGGCAGGAGGCTGACATGCTCAAGGCAGTGCAGAGCGCTCAAACCTGCAGCCAGTCCACCATAGGGCCCATCGCAGACGTTGCTGCCAACGCAGAGGATGATTCATCCCCCGCAGGCTCAGAACTCGCAGCAGCGCTAAGGTTGATGGCTGGCCTCTTCTTGGCCAAATCCACCCTGGCGGCTGCGGCCTGGAGGGGTAGTGGATCGGGAGGGCAACAGCTCGGAGAATGCGTGGAGGCAGCCTTGCCACTGACGGATCTCTTCACACAGATGTAGTTCAGACTCACGCGCACAACAAAGCCCGGCTCTTTGTTGCAGAAATATCGCGGCCAATCCCAGCTCAGGCATACACAAGCAGGCGTAATCTAGCGCCTAGGGCCGCCGCATTGCGTGCAGGGCAATCTCCCTCGGATGCACCTGGGCGTCCCGTGGTGCGAGGCCGAACGCCTGGCGCAGCTTGCGCTCTGTGGCTGCGCTAACCGCCAGGTCAGACTCCTGTCCGATGCGGCCGGCAAGATGTGTATGCTTCAGGGTTGGCAGGCAAGCACTTTTAGGCGTGCATCAGGCGGGTGTGATAAGGGGGGGTTCAAGTGCATTAGATGTGCACAGGAGGTGCGTGCAAGGGGGTTTGACGGCTTCAGGTATGACCTGTTGATTGCAGCGCGCGCACGTCGATTGTGCTGTTGTGCTGGTGCGCGTTCCAGTAGCGCTTGTCACCGTGCGCCCCCACCCAGTCTCTTCATCACCACACACCTGGAGAACCGAGCTGATCCCCATCAGCACCACACCCTGAATTATCTGGGGGCCCCAGGTGACGACGGTGCCCCCGCAGCTCCTCCCGACCACCAGGCCGATTGCTCCTTGGAGGGAGCCGGAGGTCATCAGCTGCGGCTCCTCCGGCTTTGGTTGCGGGCTTGCCATCGGGCCGGAGGCGGCTGCTGGCGTGTCATCGGGCGATTTCTGGGCGCCAGGTGCCACCTGTCCAAGGGGTTGTTGGGTGTAAGAGCGTGGCTATCACAAGCTTGCTGTACCATGAATGTACGTACAGAAATCGCAACGCTTTACCCAATGCGCCGCGATGTATGTCGCGGGCTCGCGGCTGCACCCCCAACACAGACTTCCTCCCCAACACGAATTCCTCCCAGCAATTAGAATAAATGTTGCTGATCCATGCCGCCGGACATGCACCCCGGTTGCATGCTATGCCAACCGCCCACCTGCAGGTACTCCCCTAGCATGTTCTGCATCAACAAGGACGGCGGCGGCACAGCCGCAGACGCGCCCAGCGCGGCCGCAGCGCTCCGCCCAGCGGGCGCTGTAGAGTTGAGCTGGGATGCCGGCAGCGCTGCGGCGGCGCGCAGCAGAGTACGGCCAGCAGCAAGAGAGAGGTTGGGCCAGCCCTCATCAGCTGCGGCAACCTCAAATAAAAAGCAGTGTAGATGCCACCCGCAGGAGGCAGCACAGAAAGTTCAAGTGGCGGTCGTGCCTCACCATGGCGAAGCAAGAGCCGCCTCAGCTTGGCCGGCTGCTGAGCTGCCAGCTGCAGAACAGAGTGTTGCGCCGAAACGTTTGGTTCCAGCAGACGCTGCTGCTGCTGCTGCTGCTGCTGCTGCTGCTGCCGCCGCTGCTGCTGCTGCTGCTGCTGCTGCTGCTGCTGCTGCTGCTGCTGCTGCTGCTGCTGCTGCTGCTGTGCCTGCTGGTCCGCCTGCCCCCCTCCAACGCCAACCTGCCGCATGCGCCTGTTGCTGAAGGTCATGTCTGGGCTCTGCCCCGGCCCAGGCACGGGGCCGCCACTCCTGTTTTGGTCGCCAAAGAACCCTCCCTCTTCTGGCCATGCAGGCAACGATATGTTGTCTGCTTTGGGGCTAGCAGTCAAAGCAGCTGCGGCTGCAGGTGCCAGGCCGTCGTGCACGCAGCTGGTCAGAGGGTCGCCTGCGCAGCTGGCTGCGGAGGCGCCCAGCAGGTGGTGTGCAAAAGCCGCGTCTGTCGGCACAAGCAGCGCCAGGGGCGGGGGGCCGTCGAGCGCGGCTGGCGCAGAGGCCAGCGCGGCTGCTGCAAGGCGTGCAAACCCCGCCTGCATTTGGGTGTGGGTCGCAGGGGAAGACGTGGAGTTGCCGGCGCGGTCGCCCTCCTCTGACACTGCACAGCGCACCAGCAACAAAAGTGAACCACGTTGCTCATTGAGCACATGTACTGAAGCATTCCAGTTTGTACCCATCTCACGTGCTGCGGCCGCTCGTCTGCCAATTGGTGCAAGACCGTCCACCAGGCTGGTCCCGCACTCTGCTGATCACGGCCCCCCTCGTCGTCGCCTTTACTGCTCTCTCCTGTGCTACCACTGCTTCCAACCCCAGCTGGTTCCCCGTTGCTGCCCGCGCTGCTTTCCCCGCTGCCGGTGCCGTTGCAGTCGCTGCTGCTGTTCCTGCAGCTGCTCTCTGGCGGCGCAGGACGACCAAGCAGGCCGAGAAGCCTGCTTTGAAGCAACGAAGCTGACATCACCATGGAGTCGTCTCGATCGCCTGCGCCCGCACCCTGCCCAGAATCCTGCACCAACAGCTGCTCAGGGGCAAGACCCAGACCAGCGCGACCCCCCTGCGCTGCCGCACTGCTGTTTGAAGGTGGTGAGCTTGCCCTGGTGGCGTCCCAGCTGCCTTCGTCAAGGCGAGCCTGCCTTTGGCTCGGCAGGCTATCGTCGGCACCCGCCAGGTGGCTGGTTGGGGTGGTTTGTGGCGCTGCTGTGGAGAGGCCTGGCGATAAATTTCCCGGGAAATTGGAGGCGGCAGGAGCTGAGCAAAGCAAAGACAGTTGCCGGGCGGCCGGCGAGCCACCACCCAGCTACTGTTGCCCTTGGACAAGCCGCCCACCTGCTCGTGCTGTCGCGGCCTCGTTGATCACCGGTTGCTGCTCTTCCCGAGGGCCCGCACAGGCTATTTTAGCACCAAACAATATAATGATGACCAGGAAGCGCTGGCCTTGAACGCGCATTTGGGCTTGCGAGGCGTGCATTCCAACGCTCCGAGGCTTCGTTTTAGATTTGCGATCACTGCGCACTGCCGTCTCCGACACAACATCAAGCGTTCGTATTCTTGAACCGGGGGCACGCCAAAGGATGCCACCGCGCTGCACGTGAGACCATTCGTTTCAGCTCCCTCACACTACATCATCAGTGTCTGGTCATCACCAGGGTTGAAATACTTCACCAGATATCTGAAACATGGTGGCATCATGATATCCTATTCAGCTTGCAAACGCTGCTCAGAAGCCATTGAGGCAGCCTTGAAAGCAGCATTCCCTGAGTCATGCTGACTTTGTGCCTGAGACGTGCCGGTGCCCGGGTCTCGTGCGCCTACCATTTAGCAATACGAGGCCCTCATCGCCCTGATGGGCATGTTGGGTGCGGTAAGCAACTGCCCCCTTGAACAGTACCTGCACGATCCCTGCAGCAATATATGTCCAAATCAAACATCAACTGCGTGCCCACCCGTTGGAGCCGATTGCTTGGCCGCCGCAGTCCGCCCGTGCGGGGAACTGCTGTGCTTATGGCTGCCCCACAAGTGCAGGCTTTGCCGAGATCTGGACCTTCCAGGCTTATGTCTGCAAGTCCTGCAAGGTAAGCGCAACCATTACCAGAATCAAGGCTGCGCTACTGTGTTGCTGACTTCTTGGTTGTTACACAGAAACCCCAACCTCCAAGCAGACCGTTACACACCCCGCGCTGAAACGTGTGAGCACCTAAAGACCAAACCCTGCGTCAAGCTCAGGGCAGATTCTTGTTGCCCGTGTTGCATTCACACTGCTGTGTGACGCGGAGCCAGGCCCGAAGCAGCCAGCCGCATTGAACCTGCCACCTGCACCTGTGCCCACGACCACGCGCCGTCATGCACAAAGGATCACGCGGCCGCCCGCGCAGCCCCCCGGCGGCTCCCTTGCCTACCCCGGACGACCACAGCAAAATGTCGCCGCGTCCGGCTGGCCGCACTGTCACCCTGCGGGATGGGGTGACGCATGCTTGCTCAGCGTGTCCCTTCATCGTCGTCGGCCAGCCACTGAGTCTCCTTGATGTCATCAGCCATGCCGCCTCGCTCTCCAAAACCTGCACTTGCTGCCACACTCCTCTTGCGGCTGTCGCTGCTGCTGCTGCTGCTGCTGCTGCTGCTGCTGCTGCTGCTGCTGCTGCTGCTGCTGCTGCTGCTGCTGCTGTGCAAGATTCGTATTGCAAGACAATGAGAGGGGCTGAACCTTTCAAAACGACTCACTATAGCAAAGTTGAGTGGGGACATCGCAAATCGGTTGTCCAGCTCGAGCTGGGAGGTACAACTGCCGCGGGACCGCCTCGAAGCTGGATGGTGAGCGTAGCAGGTCGCATAATATGTCAACATTACTGCGGACGTGCTTGACCCATTGGTCACCCGTTGTGGGGCCCGTTGACATAGCCAGGCCCGTTAGTGAGGTTGGGCGGGCGAGTGCACGAGCAGCAGGAGCAGCTTGGGTGACACTGGCACGTCACTGGCTGGTGGTGTCCCAGACGCGCGGGTGCGGTCAGCGGTTTCTGGTATGTGTTTCTGTTGACTACCGTGCGCTCGCGACAGGTCCTCGCCACGCTGTCGGCATCTGTGGTGTCCGCGAAGGGGTTTCGCAGGAAGAGACGGCCAAGTCAGGTTGCAGAATACGATTTCACCTGCTATATCTAAAGTATTTCACCCGTCTCACCTTAGGATTGTCTTGTTGCGATGGTCGGCCCGCGCAGCGGTGGTCTGGCACTTGTTGTCGCACTGGCCACTCTAGCACTCATAGCTGCCGAGAATGGAGGTAAATTTTGTGTCGGTGCATTCGCGCCGTCACGCTCGTTGTGTGTCCGCAGCCTGGCCCGCCGCACATGCACGTTGGCAGCGCTTGACGCCTCCTTGCTCATTTCGTGCAGCAATGGCGGCCTCCCCTGGGTGGGGGCCTCTCGAGAGGGCAGCGGCAAAAGCGCTTGGTGGACAAGATCCAGTGGACCTGCCTGCAAGCAAGGCCAGTGGCAGTGCCGACGTCGTGGAAGCTCTGTCCGCAGTAGGGCCCCAGGCCACGCCGCAGCCCAAAGGACGCCGCTGCAAAAGTGAGCCGCGCGAGGCCTGGCGGCGGGCCTAACAGGGTGGCCACGGGAGGGAGAGGAGACTAGCTTCCATGCACATAAAGTGCGGGGCTCTCCCTGTTGTCTTTGAGGTGCCGCGCTTAGTCCCTATGCCATTGATCCAAACTGTGCCCGCAAGCGCTCGATGGTTGCACGATAAAAGCTAAGCTTGAGCCAGTGCTGGCAGCAGCATTTGTTTGCGCCCTGGGTGCCCGTCCTCCCAACTGCGCCTCAATCCTACGGACACTGCTGATGCTTTGTGCTGCTTCGACACACTTCCAGGTGGGCGTGGGCAGATCATCCAAGGACCCATCCAAGCCAAGGACCTGCCTGTGCGCCGGCCCCCGGACTGGCAGTACTGCAACTTCGCCTGCGCAGAGAGCTACAACATCACCACCGACAGCGCGACCAACGAGATATTTGTCCAGGTGGGGTCAGGGGTGACCCCTTGTGTGCAAGCGGGAGGCGTGGCGCCAATGACGCTGCAAAGGTTTTAACGATGTGATAGTTGTTGTACAAGGCCACAGGCGCAGCATCACGGCTGGGCAGCCCACCTGCTAGCAGCTTGCACCTGGGCAGCCTCTCTTCCTCCATCACGCGGCGTTCAGAATCCCCCCTGCTGCCTGCCGTCCCTGCTGATGCATCGCAGGTCGTGCACAAGCCCATCGCCGGCGTCACCCCTGAGATGGCCGTCTGGTGGTTCAAAGGCAACGTGGAGGGTGAGCATGGGTATGGAGGACTGCCCGTCTGTGTCGCCGCTGCCCACCAACTTCGGTCTGGTGCCTCTCTTCTTTCAGTTTGCGTCTTCACCAGCTCAACCCCACCGACTCCTGCCCGCCTGTCCGTCAAAAACTGCCACCACGCCAGGCGACATGACGCACCCGGTCGACGGGATGACCTACCCGCGCTGTGAGTGATGGCGATAGAGAAAAGGGCAGGCCACACCTCTATTGCTGGGTTTTGATGCCCGTTTGCCATGCCCGCCCTTTAGATGGCGGATGCATTGCTGGCCCCCACCCTGCAGTGGCCCTCAATCGTCTACGCCACCCAACGCGCAGCTCAAGCACCACACATCAATTGAACCTCGCATTAAACGCAATTTGCGCTGCATTCTATATCCGTCACATTTACCAGATCACGTTTGGCACCCGAGGGACCACCTGTATCAGCTGACAAAGCGCAAGAGCCCCCTGGCCAAGACTGTCCCCGGAAGCGTGGACAAGGCCGTCTGGCGCATCAGTGAGCGCCCAGTTCTGCTTTCTATCCACCTTGTTCCGTGTGCGCGAGGGGAGGCGGAGGCAACCAACACCAGGGCTGCTGTGATGAACCGAGCTGTGACGAGCGTGCTCCACCTGTGCGCGTCTCCTCCCTGCCGCCCTCACACCTGCCTGCCCTCCCTTTGTTCTCTTCGACCCCCAGCCGAGTTCATCATCGCCTCCCAGCGCTACTTGAAGAGCGACGCAAACTGCATCTGGTCAGACGAGGTCAGCATGTGGACCGGGCCGAGGTTAAGGATGGCGACCCTGCACCAGTCAGGCAGCCCCAGCGAGCGTCAGCCTCTGTTACGGCCTCTCATTGCCGTGTCCCATCCTCTCGGTTGAACTCAGGGAGTGTACAGGAGGTTCCCAGCATGTCCCTAAAAAATTTGTCTGCGTTCTTGCTGACCAAAACGCACCTTGGAAACATCAACCCCACCCACGCACCCAGGCCTATGCAAACGACGACATCCAGGTGGTTGCCCTGAACATCACTGGCCTCTTCATGCAGCTGTCCATCGGGCTGAGCAACAAGCCGATGCGCCTGCGCCACCTGGTGCGGACGCCCCGTCGCTGTGTCTGTGCTTGACTGCGACCCAACACTTTCCTCCGTAAATGTGTCAGGACGAGAGGTCTCGCTGCCCGCTTGGGCACAAACAAAAGACTGCCAATGCTGCCCTCTGCACCCGCGTCCCCTGACCCTGTCCACGTGCGCCACCCTGGGACGATATCGCAGTGGTCGGCATCGCCCCAGGGGCTCATCCTGACCAGCGAGCTGCGCATCGGCTTCCAGGTGCGTTGCGCTGCTGATGCACCTGGACGTGCGCCGAGGCGGGTGCTGTGAACGAGGCCCTCTGCTCAAGCCCAGCGCGCCGGACCGCCTCGAGCGAAGAGATGCAGTCGCTGCAAGCAACATGCAACGCACTCCCGCCAACGTGCGAATGCGGCACGCAGTGTTTTCCAACCTGCTGATTACGCTTGGCGTGGCGGCCGAGCTAGGCCGGCGGACCGAAACATGCCATTGTCCCTTCGAGCAACGACCAACCTGTGAAACCCCTCATGCGCAGCCCACCTGTTCTCACTGACCCCTCCCCCCCCCCCCCGGCCAGGTCAAAGGCACATACACAGACCGCAAAGCCCGCACGGTCAAATCCTACAACAACAAATATGCCCGCAAGGTGCGGGGGCTGGATCAGAGAGTTTGACCGGACGCTTGACCAGAGTATTTGCAGGGTTTTTGTGTGCACCCAGCAGACGCAAGCCCCAAAATGGAATATGAGTACTGATTGAAGAGGGCTAGCGACGGGCCTGGCTGGAGCGATCATATGCAAGGCCACGCTGCGCTTGGTGCCATGCACCAGGATGCACCTCACCGTGCGCTCACTCTTAGTGCAGCGACGGAGCCGGAGGGGGGGGGATGGCAAAAACGTGACGGCATGGAGCCCACGTGATCTGCAGTTCTATAAAAGGGGGGCACATGCATGCGTTGTCATGCCAACTGCTACATGTGCTTGAATGTGCACACTTGGCCTCACTGTCACCCGGTCACCCCGATTACCCACACAGGCGTTTGGTGGCAGGGACCCGGAAGGCACTGCGCTGCTGTGGGCGCAGCACTGCCTAGAGGAGTTTAGCAACATGAAGTGAGTTGCGCTTGAGGCAAGAGGGGCCATTTAGCTCAACTGCCTGTCCGGCTGCCTGGCTGCCTGGCTTTGTTTCAACGCCTGTTCGAGTCCTGCATATTGTTATCACTCTGCCACCGCGCGGCCCCTGCACTGCAGGCACTTCCTACCAGCTCTCTACAAGAACATAACCGGTCTCTGAGCCCCAGCGGCACGCGATGAAAACTTGCCAAGTGCCCACCTTCTCGACAGCCCATGCTGTTATTGGTCAACAACCGACAGCGTGTTGGGCCTGCCTGCCGGTGCTGTCTGGTAGCTCTTGTCAAGAGCTGGAGATGGCTACGTGGGTCTGCTCTACAGACATGGTTCACACACTCGAACGTCTCAGTTGATGCCGCTTGAGCCGCTACATCCTTCAAACTTTTAAGATCTCTGGGTGGGCACCACTCTTGGCATCGAACGCATGCATTTCGGTGTGCCACCGACTCCCCAATACACATCTTGCAGTGTCAGACAGAGCTTTGGTGTGGCTTCCTTGCCCACAATCAGTAGTGACGCGGTTGCCTGACCTTGTGACGAGGGCCAGTCACTGTGCGCGAGCCGCGGCCATTCGATGTGATTGCTGAATTGACGGCTGCCAAACGGGCTGCTTATCAAGCTGCGTGTGGACCCAGCTATGGGGCCCTTTCCAGGTTTCTACAACCGTGCTTGCTTGTGCTGGTCTGCGCTGAGTCGTAGCCCGACCCAACTGCACTGCCCCCATCACTCAAAGGAGCACTGCGCCGCTTTGCGGCGCCATTGGCATGCGTGCGTGGTGGCACGCCTCCCTGATTGCCATGTGACATGCGCACATGGGAGGATTTGGGCCTCGTCAGGCATCCAATATCTTGTGCACGCTGACATGCACGCACACCCACACACAAGACGCACATGCGCCAACACCATGACCACACAAGGTAAAATGTAACGGCTTTAGGTAGTGGTGGCTCCATTTGAGTGTGGGACCTGAATCAAAACGACCACTTGTGGGTGCAACGTTCGTCCTCGGTCGCAGGTACGTTGGCACAGTCATACGCCAATGCTGCCTTTGACCAAAGGGCTGCATACCTAGTCAGCTGCATTAGCGCTTTCAGGGGCTTGATCCTACCTGCTGTCAGGCTACAGTGATTGAAATGCACGCAGCCGCGGAGCGCTCGCCGCGAGCGTCACTCACCAAGTCACTGGTGTGCAGCCAGGTTGTGCCACGACTGTCCTCAGTGAGGCAAGTGCATTCCTACACACCGTCACCCTTTTATCAGCGACAATGTCCCTAATGCATGCCAGCTGCCACGTCCTTGAAGGCGGTGTTCTCAACTTAGGGATCCGCAACTGGAAGCCGCGATCGCTGGCAAGGGCCAGCACACTCCGCAATTCAATCGGAGCAAGCGCCATGGATCACTTCAAGGCCACCGTCCAGGTGCGGGAGCCGCGAGCACCGATGCCGCTCCCACGCCCGCACGCAGCAGCGGCCGTTTCCGCGCGCCCCCAGCCTGGAGCAGTGCTGTCGCTGATGGGTGTGACGCTACCCGCACGAAGTACAAGAAAGTCCATGCACATGGCCCCCGTGTGCCATTGTACCGTGCACGCACCACGTCGGCGTCCCTTATGCATGCATGCATTTAACGCCTGCTCACCACATCCCAGCACATATCCCCCCCCTCCCAACTAGCAGGAAGTGGCGAAGAGCCCGCCTTTCCTCCCCCGCAGCGGCGCCTGCGCCGCGCCTCTTCCCGCATCAAGCGGATATGATGCCATCATGATCGGGGGTTATGTGGAACAACCGGACAAGAAGCGGGAGGGCACGAACGAAGCGTGGGCCTTCGCCCGCGGCGGCGGCGGCAGCTGGGACCTGGTGCCTTACGCGCCCGGCCCGCAGCCCGGGGTGAGCGCCCTGCTTGGCGCTCGCGCCGCTGGTTGCTTAGCGGGTTGCTGGAAGACCGAGAGACAGGCAGGCGGAAGTCGCAGCGCGCATAGCAGGCAGCAGGCTCCGTGTATGCATGCAGGTGCAAACCTGCACTCTGAGCCTCGGCATGCGCAAACCACTTCATAAGCATGGCTGTGTCACTCTCAGAACTCCCCATTGACGGTGTGCAGCCCAAATAGCACAGCCGTCGACCTCCCTCCCATCACGCCTCTGATTGTCCATCGCGCCCACCCTCTTGTCCTTGTCGGCCGGCGCTCAGCCGCGCATCGCGTCCCAATGTGTGTCGGTGGGGGAAGACGTTTGGCTCATCGGCGGCTGGGACCCCTCGCAGCAGGTGGGCCTGCCTGTTATTTTGCAGCCTGATCCCCCCTTCAAAGAGCGCCGCGCAGCAGCGGGGGTGGCCACCGGCCAGCGACGGCTGGTCATGAGCGCGCCTGTCGTGCTGCCTCGACACGCGAACTTGTGCGGCCGTATCCGATCGTGCTTGCGTGAGCGTCGCGGCTTGCCTGGCCCCAGCATCATGAATGGTCTTATCACATGGTCACACTGCTGTGCGTCATCAGGGCCCCGGGGCATTCCAGGATGACATCTGGAGGCTCAGCACTAAGGACTGGTCTTGGACGCGAGTGGAGCCGCAGGTGAGCGTGCGGATGGGGGGCGGCCCAAAGCGCTCGTGCTGCGCGTGTGTTCGCTCATCATCGTTGATCCGAGGCCAGGTGCACGTGTCCAGCGATCAGGCATCGGACTGGATACGCCGTGTTGGGCAACGGCAACAGGCAAGCTGCCGAGCCCATTAGCACCACGCGCACTCAACCTGTGCTGACCCCCGCTCTCACCATCGACCAACACAGGGCGAGAAGGTCGGCGGCGGTATCAGCAGGTTCCAGGCAGTGGCCGTCGACGGCATGATCTACATCCACACGCACCGAACCTCGGACCACATCCTAACCTTGGACACGTCCACGTCGCCCCCCACCCTGGCGCGGCGGCCCGTGCAGCCGGACACGTCGGCGGGCGCCCCGTCGGCGCGCGGCCTGCACTCGGTCACGCGGGTGGGGGGCGGACTGGTGCTGTTCGGCGGCGCCCCGCAGAGCGGCCCCATGGTGAGAGTGCCGCGTATCCCAGGGGGTGGGCGAGCGTGACATGCTTGCAGCCCCGAGGCAGGCACATAGCACCAGCGCGCCTGTCGAGGGTGACCCCAAGGCTATCGGAGTGGCGCGGGGACCCTGCCGCTGCAACTAGGGGTGCATGGCTTTGTCTTCAGGGTGGCGGGTGGGAGGCTTGTTGACCGCCCCTCCCTGCGGCGCACATCTCTGATCCCTCTACCTTTGCATGTCATCCATTTGGCGCAAATTTGACCCCTCCGTGTGCCTCGCCTTGAAACCCTCAAACCACCACAGATGGGCGACCTGTGGCGGCTCGACCTCTCCTCCCTCTCCTGGCAGCAGCTGTCCCCCGCCGGCCCCGCGCCCCACGTGCGCTGCAGCCACATCGCGGCGGCGGTTGGGGACTCGAAGCTCCTTGTCGTCGGCGGCGCGTTTTACGGCAGCTCCGGCGGCCTCGAGATGCTGGGGGATGCGTTCGTGTACGATCTAGAGAAGAACGCGTGGGATGAGGTGAGTTGCGGGGCTGCTGTGCTGGATCCGGGCGAATCTGCTGCTGCAAGCAGCTATGAAAAGAGGGCGTGCATGCAGGAAGGCGCACAGCAGCGTGTTTGACCAGCAAATGCAGGTGCCGGCGCCTTCCAGCATTATCTTGACTTTCGCAAGGGACACACGTACAGCGGTGCGCTCTAGCTGCTTGGGCGCTTCGCACACGCGCCCCTCACTCGTTTATTTTGATTCGCCTCACGTACGGCGCCGCAGGTCGTTGCTTCCGGCGACGGGCTGCCGTCGCCGCGCAACGCCGCCGTCGGCTTGCCGCTGGCGCGGGCGTCGGAGGGGCACGTGCTGGACCTGCTGATCCATGGCGGCTGGCGGGCGTTTGTGGAGACCTATGCCGACTCCCACATCATCTCAATCTGAGATGACATTATGCTCCCAACGCACGCACCGAGACAGGACGCATGGCACTTAAATCAATCTTTGTGTGGATGATGAAGGCTTGTTGAAACACACCCCCTGCAATGCAGTGCGCAGCATTTCTGCGGGCTGGCCAGCACAATCAGTGCATGCTTCGAAGCAAATATAAGTGCTGACAACCCTACGTTCCTGGTGCAGCTGCCCCAGCTAGCAGTCCCAGTTGTAACATATGCAATTGTGAGTGTTTTCCACCGGCCTTCTGCGACGGGTCACCAGCCTCATCCTGCGCCACCCCAGGAACGAGTGCTATTCTCAGATACGATCTAAGTAATCCAAATCGATTGGGAGCTCTGGCAGCTGTGGTTGGTGCGGCAGTCGACCTGCGCAGTCAGAGACAGCCGCAGCAGCCACGCTTGTGTTGACCTATGGGTTGACCCAGTGCGCGCAGCTAGGGCTGGCCGTTACTCGTCCTCCTGAATAGTGCAGTTCTGTGGGCGGGCCTGTGATAGCGAGTAACATAGCGGGTGGATGCATGCTCCTCTGGCAGGCATCATGCTCACACGCATGCTGCAGCACTGATGAGGTCGCAATGAGGAACCACTGCCGCCCACGCGCTGCGCGCGCTCAGCCTGACCCGCGCTGAGCCTGCCCCAGCAGCGTACGTGGCAGAAATTCTCCGCTCATCAGCCCCGTTGGTCGATGCTCGGCCCAGCGCACCAACTTGCACGAACATCAGTCAGCTGAAACGGCGCCGCTCAACGGACAAAGATCATAGCCGAACGCTTTCTTATCACGACTACAAAACTTGCGTCCTTCAAACCTGCGCGTTCCCTAGGTGGGTCAGCGGACCAGATTCACGGCATCCATCCCGGTGATTGCACATCCAGCCCGCGTGCCAACACCGTGACTTTCGCATCACCTGTTACATAACAATGAGGTCCCTAAGCAACAGGCAGATGGGGCCCAGGGGCCCCGCTGGAGTGGATAGGGCCATCTCGCAGCGTTCTACACGTCGCCTAGCGCTCATCCGGGCTCACCAGCAGCACAAGGTGGATGTAGAGTGCAGCACCAGCACTTCTGTAGCCTCTTCGCAGCAGCAGCACCCGCGGCGAGCGCTGCTTGGCCTCGCCGCTGCGGCTGCGGCAGCTGCCATCACCCTTCAGCCGCTGCCCGCGGCGGCGGACGCGCTCGCGGCCGCCTCCGTGCCGGCGGACGCCACGCCCTACCTTTTGTCGACGGGCGCCAAGGGGCTGCTGGCTGAGGAGGAGGCACGGCTGCTGCAGCTGAGGAAGGAGCTGGAGGCACAGGTGCGCTTGCCTGATTTTCTTGTGGGAAGGGCGCATGGGACGAAGGCAGGCGCGCCTAATCCCCTCTGCTCGCTGACCTGCCGCGCCCACGCCAACGCCGCCGCATGTCGGGCTGTTTTGGGCGCGGCGGGAGCAGTAAGATCGCACCTGCGCTGTGGCGCGGCCCGTCGCTCACGCTTCTCCACGATTGCGGCGATGGTTCAGCGGCTGCTGGTTGACCAGCCACGAATCTCGTGATATCCCCTTTTGACATATCCACCCGCCCAACCCAACAACCGTCCCACCAAAATCATCCATCAACGCACGCAACCAGGTGCGGAAAGAGATAGAGCTGGAGCGCGCCGCAGCAGAGAAGGATGCGCAGTCGTCCGCGGTGAGAAAAGATTGAACTCGCAATTCAAGGCGCAGAGCTGCGCGCCAGGCAGCCGCACGCAGTGCCCGCGGCGCCGCCAGATGCACCCGAACGTCTGGCTCATGTGGCGCAGTCTTGCTTCTGCGCCCGGCACATCAGTGTGTGCCGACAGCGGGCGACGGGGCGCGCAGGCTGCAGCCTGTTTTGGCAAATGGTCGGTGGACGATTGCGTCCTGTGCACCTAGACGCAGCAAGCAGCAACGGCATCTGCACATGACGCGTATGCGCTCCCGAGCGGTCACGCATGCACTCGCGGTAACACGGTCACGTTTCTGCGCATTTGCAGGTGGGCAAGCTGTGTGCGACGCCCTATGGCGTCGACATCGTGGGCATTACAGAGTTCATCGCCCTGGTGGGGGCCCTGGTCGGAGGCATCACCGCGCGCCAGCGCAAGAACGAGCTGGAGCGGCTCAACGAGCAGCTGCGCAAGGTGCGGTCGGCTGGAAGCTGCCGGGAAGCTGCCAGGGCGGCCGGCTGGGGTGTTGTTGGGTAAGGGTTGGCCGTGCTTCTGGCTGTGTCGCTGGGCGGCGGCGCCAGTACGCACCCCTTGTGAAGGGGAGCAGCACAGCTGTTGGGCCCAGCAGGGCCCCAACGTGCTGTGCGCCCGGCCACCAGCGGTCGGGTCGGCTCACTGCCGCGCAGCGGCGCACCAACGGCCGCCTGAATCGACGCGCGCACGCCTTGGCATCCTTGCCAACCGTAGCCCGCCCTGCTTTTGTTGCTTGACGCCAGGTGAACATGAGTCTGCGGCAGCAGGCGCGGGCGGGCATGGTGTATGCCCCCGGCCTGACCTACGTGCCCCCCACGGCGGCGCCCGGCAGCAGCAATGGCAATGGCAACGGCTACGCGCCCGCCGCGCCCGTGGTGGCCGTCGCGGCGCCCGCAGGCGCGGCGGTGACGGTCACGGCGCCGCCGAAGCCGAAGGCACTGGAGGCGGCGGCGGCGCCGGCGGCGGGGGGCGCGGTGCAGTCGCTGTTTTCGATGGATGAGGACGAGATGACCTCTGATCAGATCCAGTGCAGGTGCGCGGGAGGGGACCAGCAGCTGCACGTCAACATGGGAACTCCGACACGGTTTTACCCGGCGTTGACCGCGAGCCGACGGGTGGCAGCCACATGCAGGGCTCGCCGGCTGGGGAGCGCCGCCGGTCCCTGCGGCGGTGGGGAGCCGGTGTGGCCGTTCTGACTTGCGGGCTTTGCCATGCGAGCTTTGAATTCGTGCGCGACCCCACAATCCCCGATTGCGGCCTCTCAGTATGTATTCCGCCCTGCACCCTTCAAACCTGTCGACTTGCTGCTGCTGTTCGCGCAGGGACTCGCTGCGCGCGGGCAAGCGTCTGCTGAAGGAGAAGAACGGCGCCGCCGCCATGGTGCGTTTCGAGAAGGCGCTGATGCTGTCCAAGGCGCTGGAGGACAAGGTGATCTGATCTGGGGCGATCTAGATCTGGGTGTCGTGTCGGTCGCTCGTCTCGGACCGCGGACCGGTGCTGCGAAGCCGCGGGTCGTAGCAGCAAGGGGCCAGCTGTGAGGGGTGTCAAGAGGAGGGCGTGATGCGGCGCGTTGACGGCCCCTTACCTCAAGCGAATAGCGCTCGGACCTGTCACTGCTGCGGCTGCTGCCCCCTTGGCACGACCAACCCTGAACATCGCTTTCCCAAACTGCAGGTCCAGGAGCGGCGCGCCATGCGCGGCCTGGCGGCCTCCGCGCGGCTGCAGGTGCGGCCCTCGTGCTGCACCCGCACACCCCCACGCCCCGCCGCAGGCCGGCCGCCAAGTCTCTGCGCCCCTTGCCTGTTTCTGCGTCCGCACCGCCAGTCAGCGCTGTCGCTGCCGCTCAACCTGCCACGGCCTGCGTCTATCATTTTTTCTGATCCACATTTTGCCGCAATCAGCAGGCTCAACCACCTCTGCGGCAACACTTTCAAACCCCTCAGGGCCAGTACAAGGCGGCCATCAAGCACCTGGAGAGGGTGCTGGAGATCTCGCGGGAAATGAAGGAGTTTACGGGCGACGCCGACGCGGTGGGCGGTTGCAGACAACGTCCTCGCCTTTTCCAGTGGCGGTTGTTTTGGGGGGGGCGCTGTGTTCGAGGGGGGGCTGGGGCGGGGCACCTGGAGATGGAGGAGGAGAGGGCACAGACACCCACAAAGGGGTCTTTGCTGGGGCTGTGCTGGCCGGCTACCCCTGATGCCTTGCGTTTTTGCGCGGCGCCTCCATGCCTGCCCACACCTGTGCGTTGCTGACGTCATCATGACGCGCCGCGGCGGCAAATTTTTGCAGTACGGCACCATCGCGGACTGCTACACGGAGATGGGCGACTTTGAGCACGCGGCGGTCAACTATGACAAGTGAGTCAGCATTGGCAGGGATTTGCATGTGCAAACCAGACGTTTTCGTGCGCCAGAGGCGTCGCAGGGCACTTCAGACAAGTTGCCTGCTATATGCTGTGCACGCCAGACGCGCCGGCGACCGTGCACGCGCTACTGTGCGTCGCCCAATGTGCGCTCATGGGCGCCGAAATGGCGGGCGGCGCCAACTACATGCTGAGGCGTGAATTTGTGCCTCCTTGCCTTCCTGAACGTTTGCTCGCAGGTACATTCGAGTGATGAACACCGACGGCCCCGTCTGAGTTTGCAGATGATCAGACTGTGAACAGCGCGATCCGCCGCCTGTTGTGCCACGGCGCGCTTATTATTTGTCGCCGGCTCGTGGTGCTTGCAACTATTGGGGCGCCTCCTTGCGCGGGATTCGAAGCGAATCTCACGCTCGAAGGGCCAGCAGCGCCGGCGCCGGCGCTTGCCGTGAGACGCCCCCATGCTGCACGGGCGCTCCACAGATATTGCCTGCCGCACACCTGCGAGCCGAGGCATCGCCACACCCGCCTCTGCGTCGCTTCGCCCGGCAGTGGTGCCGCAGTGCTGGCGCATGCAAGGCGTATGGGCGTTACGGACGCAACCGAACCTCCCTGACTGATTAGTGCATGGAGCCTACATGCCCTTCCAGCCCAACACAACACTTCAATGCCCCTGGCGCCCCTGCTTTTTGAGCAAGTCCGGGCGCAGCGCCGCCTTGGAGAGCAGCAGGCCTAAACACGCATGCAGAGTGAATGAGTGGCGTCAGCGCTGGTGCTGCCATCCGAGTGATTTGTTTTGCCGATGTTGGTCACACGTCTTCGCAGGTTGTGCACATCTGTTTCTGTGTTGTTCACACTTTGTCGCCACTAGTCAGCCTGTAAGTTTCCCTGACTTCATTGCTGCTGCACTGCTTCACAAATGCAAACACAGTCAGAGGTGAGCAAGCCACGGGAAGCAAACGTCAGCAGAGCACACGGAAAAGACCCCAGATTGCGCGGGATTTACATGCAGCAGCACCAAGGGGCACCGAAGGGCGTACGCATGCAGACCAAAATAGCGATAGCGCTCTGCCAGCCATGGTCAACACAGCAAACCATTGTTTCACGATGGCAGGAAGGCAGCATCCCGGGTGCTGCCTGGCCCATGCCAACCCCTTTAAAGGCAAAAGCGCATCTGGGTCATGTCAAGCGAATGGGAGTGTGAGAAGCCGCGCCACCGAAAGTTGGGGCCCTGGAATCCTCCCTCAAGCTAGGGTCATTCCAAGCTAAAATCCATTGGGGGCGTCCCAAAGCACGCAGCCGCCGAAACAAGAGCAAAGTAGTCGTGCATCATTTCGAACTCCGCAGGAAGGGGTGCAGGGCAGCGCCACCAGGCCTAAGCCCTGTCACCTCATGCGGCTGGTCCCGCTGCGGCCGGGCGTCCCCTGTTGCTTGTAGTGCTGCTGCTGCTGCTGCTGCTGCTGGTGCTGCTGCTGCTGCTGCTGCTGCGTACGCATCACGCCGCCACCCACCAGCGCACCCGCCGCGCTGCCCCGCGCGGCTGCAGCAAAGAACGCCAGGCTGCCGCGCCCTGGGGTGCCCCCAAGGCCGAAGCTGAAGCGGCCGGCGCCGGCGCCGGCGTCCGCACCGCTCTGCAGGAACCGCTGCTGCTGCTGCATGCTGTTAGGTGTCGTTGCCGCTTCTGCATTCTCCTTGTCTGCCCCTGCCCTATCCAGGTCCATCGGAGCCGCGCCGCCGCCGCCTGTCGCGCCGCTGTGCTGCTCCCGCCGGGCCCCGCGTCGGTCCTGCGCTTCTGTCGGCTCAGCGGGCGGCTGCGAGCCCCCAATCCGGGTGGCGCCGCGGGCCGCTTTGGTGGAGCCACGCAGAGACAACCTGAGAGGGAGCAGGCGGTTGCTGTGCTGCTGCTGCTGCTGCTGCTGCTGGGCGCTGGGCAACGCCGCCACCTGCAGCGCTGCCTGACCTCCTGCTTTCCCCTCGAGCGGCCCCTCCTCCTCATCTGGTATGATCTTAAAAGTTGCCTTGACCTGCTGCCCTGTCCGCGGTGGTGGCGCCTCTACCTCACGATAGCGCTCACCAGCGTCGGTCCCGCTGGCCGCGGCGGCCCGCGGCCCATGGCCGCTGTCGACGGGGCAGACAGGCTGCGGCGCGCCGGCGGTCGCCAGCGCGGCGGCAGGTGCAGGTGCCCCGCCGTGCAGCTGCAGCTGCAGCTGGATGTGTTGGTGGCTGGCCGCGAGCGGATGGTCGGTGGGGGGCGGCGGCAGTGGCGGCAGCTGCGCGGCCGCCCCAGTGCTGACAGCGCGCGCAATGTTCTCTGCGCAGGGAAGGAACCTGCGGCGCCAGCGGCGTGAAAGTGGGGGAGATGAGGCTATGCCATGCATGCTTAATGCTCCCTGAAGCGACGCCTTGTGTTACTTGCGCTCGCCTTTGCGATATCGTTGGCAGCAAGAGCTGCTGCGTGTGCGTGTCTGCGCCTTGCCGCTGCAATGGCCACGCACGAGGCGGGGGTCCAAGCAAGGTGGGCTACAAGGGGCCAGCGAGACACACCTAGTATTGTAGAACTGGCGCATCGTGCCGAAAACGGGAGCGGTCGCGCCCACCACCTGCACAGGTGCGCCCGGCGGCCCGCCCGCCAACCCGGCCGGGGCCGGCAGAGGGGGCCGCAGGGGTGCAAGGGAGACCTCTGCCAGCTCAAAGACAGACGGGTCAGTGCCTGGCAGCGCGGAGAGCACGGCCTGCAGGCGCGGCGCGGCGGGAGCATGGTTGCGCGCGGCACCGGCTGGGGTTGAGCAGCGCGTGCATCCTTGTGTGACACCGCGTGCGTTTTCCCCCCACGCAAGCTGATGGCCCCTGCAAAAACGGACAATTTGATGCAGGGCCTGCACATGGCGAGCCCGCAGACCCCTCCCCTGCCATCTCTAAACCCCAGCTTGCGCTGCGTTCGCTGACGACCCCCAGCCGTGCGGCTGGGTCGCGGCCAGTCCGGGGGGTTGCACTAGCCAAGCCGACTGCTCGCGGCCCGCGGGTGGCATGACCGCGGCTCAACAAGCCGCTGACGGGCTCACCCTCTCAACGTCTGTGAACTTGATCTCCAGATCGTGGAGCTTCGCCATGACATAAGACGCGCAGCCCACCATCACCGCCGCCGGCTGCGCGCGTTGGTGTTTACGTCACACGGGTGGGTAACACGGGTGGGTCGGTGGGCAGCGCAAAGAGTCGACCGTTAGGCGGGGCCGTGCCGGCAGTTGGCGCCACCCCAGACTGGCAAGGCCCATGCATGCGTGCAGCTTGGCCACCAGGAGCAGCGCCGTTGCAGCGCCTGATCCGCCATTCGAAACGTTCAGGGGCCACATGAGCGCGGCCCGGCCCTGCTGGCCTTCCTGACAATGTGCGAGCTCGGCGGCATCCCGCCCTGCAGGCTTCATGGCTGCGACCAAAGCGGCCCCTCTGCCTGCCCACCTGCCCCAGGAAGAGCCCTGCCTCCCGCAGCAGTAGCTCATCCAGCAGGGTAGCGACCTGTAGATTGGGTTTTGCGTGAGGTGTACCACTTTGTCTGCTCTCCCCCAAGGCATCCTGGGGCAGCTTCTGGATGCGCAGCGTAAGTGAAGGTCAAAACCAGACACAGCATAATCTAACCAAGCACGCATAACATTCTTCTCATGCCCAATTACATCATCCTCGCGGCCAACTTCAAGCATATCGCGACATGACGTAATTCGCACCTGCAAGGGATAAGGCGCCACATGCCGCTCAGCCGCGCCGCCGTTGCCGCCCATGCCCCCCGTTGGCGGTGGTGCCGGCATCTGCGGCGCCGGCCCTGCTGCTGTGGCGGGTGACAGCAGCGCGGTGCCCGCGCGCAGACCTGCGTTAGTGACAAACGTTGCGTACGCCGAATAGAACTCCAGCGCCAGGGCCGGGTCCCCCTCCTGGCAGCAGTAGCCGCCGCCTGCACGGGCCCAGGCATGCAGTTGAAGCGGCAGGGGTTGCAGGGTCAACATTCAACACATGCTGTGTTCTTCAAAGTGTTGCGCTGCTTGCTGGTGTGAGAATGCTTGATGAAGGTGAGAGATCTCATTCCCAGGATGTCATCGCAACCGCTGGCCCCCAGAGGTGAGCTTGCCCCTTCCATCCCTGCTTTTACCGCCGCACGTGTGTCTGATTACAGGGGCACACCATGCGTCGCCAGCGTGTGGAAGGAGCTGCCGTGCGCCAGGCCCGTGCTGCCCATCACACAGGATTGGATTCGCTCCAGCAGCCCCGCCACAGCTGGCGGCATCGGGTGGCGCGACGACGAGCCAGGTGCGAAGCAGCCGGCAAACGCCCTGAGGGGGACCGAAGCAAGCGGATCGAAGAGGAGAGGCTGTCGGTGTCTGATGTGTGCATTCCAAGCACAAAGTGACAGCGCTACCGCCTGCAATCCATGTGGTTTCGGGTAGGCATATGAGAGACGCTACAAAGGCAGCGATCCCACGCCGGGAGCAACAGCTGCGCACCTCGCAGCGGCCCACAGCGACACTGCCATCGGCGCGCGGCCCAAGCGCTGAGTCATCCAGGGGTAGTGGCGGCCAGGGTCGTCCTGGGGGGGAGAGACGCGGACGACGGTGGCGGCACCTGCAATAGCCTTGGCCTGATGCTGTTTGTGAGCACGGGTCCTCAGAAAAAAACACGCGTGGGTGCTGCAGCGGCACACAATCAGGACGAGCTCTCCGGTGGGCTGCACACGTGGCTATTCGCCCCCCGCTTGAGTCGCAGTTCCTCGCAAACCTCGTTGACAGCGAAGGCAGTGACCTCCAGTGCGCAGTGCAGCAGTGCCGCATGGAAGTCTCCCTGGGTCAGCAGCTCCTGAGGTGCATTTGTTCATGGAAAGGCAGGGGCGGTGTGATGCCGTCGGCAACAACACAGCATCACGGACAGCTTGGTTTCACGAGTTGACTCAGGCTGGCTGCTGGCGGCACGCACCCGTGACGCGGGGTTGGGCGGCACGCGGGCGAGGCCCTTGAAGCGTCGCTGCCTCGCCGCCTGCGCGCTGTCAGGCTGGATGGGGAAACGCCGCGCCAGCTCCCATTCGCAGACGCTGCCCCGAGTTGCCGGCGCATGTATGCAGGCATACAGGCGAGGGCATGCGGGTGTAAGAGAAGTATCAATAGGATTTTTAGAAAGGCATGGGTGCAGTGCTGACGCTTCAAATGAGTTGGTTAGGTGTCCAATTCATCATTCACGTGAAACTGTACCTGCTGAGGAATGCATCAAACACTTTGAATCGCACAATGCAAGCCCTCACGTGTAATACAGGTACGAGGCAGCCAAGGCGCAGTCCAGCCGGTCGGCGCCACCTTCAAGATCAGCGGCGAAGGATCCCGGCTCGTGATCTGGGAAGCCTGCCTTTGCCATGCGGCCCACCAGGTTCAAGATATCAGGCTGTCGGGGGTGTGTTTGAGGTTGCGGGTCGGTTTGGGCGTGGCTGGAAGTTAGTAGTGGCGAGGTGCTGCCGGGCAACATGCAGCATGGAATGCTGCAGTGGGTTTGCCCGATTGCTTGCAGCCTGCACTGCTTCAATGGATTAGCCCAGGTGTACAGGGTACAGGAAGCGCCACACGAGCCAGGGGAGGGCAAGGAAGGAAAGGATCGCATGTCCCTGCATGCAGAGGGCCACGCCTCTGCATGGTCAGATGCACATGGCTCACGCCCCATGCAAGGTCCTGGAGTGAATCCAGGCACATGTGGGGGGTGCATGCATGCCATGCGGGGCAAGGGGCGCGCTCTGCATGTCCGCGCATGCGAGCCTGCCGTGCGGCTGGCGCCACGCTTCAAGAGTGCCTGAGCCAATAAGAGGCTATTGTGCCCACCGTGAGGTCTGTTGCCTTGCCATGGCCCCTGAAGTACCCAAAGAGAGAGTCCCTGGAAGTACTCCGCTGCATGTGGCCGAGGACAAAAGGGGAGGGCAGGCCGTGTGGCGAGCCGGCATGTATGCTTCCAACGATTGTTGACTTGACGGGGCTGCTGTCCACACCTGAGTGCTGCGCCACGGCTTAGCAGCATGCAGATCGGGAAAGTGGTCAGTCTGCCTGCGACCTGGCCCTCCCCGCCCACCATTTCTCGGTAGACGCCCCACAGCCATGACAGAGGATCGCCATCGCCGTCACCACTGCCGCCGAGAGCTGCCATCGGCCTGCTGCTCGTGAACCAGCACGGTGCCCAAGAAGTATACTGGTTCACCAAGAGGGCTCAGCTAGCTGTCGTTGTTGTTCGCGCACGACACGCCAGGATCGCCGAGATCAGCGTCGTTCAAATGCAAACAACCAACCAAATACTAAAATGTCAGGAGTTGAAGCAGATATATGAGCACGGCTAGCGAGCAGCCGCTGCCATCAGGAACGGTGAAGAGTTACTAAAACTAGCTTTGTCACCGTCTGGCATTCTTCCTGCCCCTACACGGCCAACTAACTCCAATTCGAAGCGCAGCCACCGGAAACGATCAATTAGCCTTTGCACACATCGTCACCAGCGTCACCATTGGCTCGGTCTTTGTGGATCAGCTCTGCTGCATGCAAACATGAATGCATCAAGTGCATATGCGCCAGCTTGCTACAGTCGCGGGCCCATGTGCGGTGCCGGCTTGCGACGCCCGAAGCAGGCGGCGCCATGCGTCGCGTGCAGCGCTGGCGGGCGCCACCCAGAGCAGGCAGCTATCGCGCACACAAGCGCGGAAGTGCGCGCACCACGGGAGCGGCCAGATGTTGAGGGCATGGATTCGCGGTACCGCAGGTGAGCACCTACACAACCACATAGTGCCATTTGCCAACGCGCTCGAACGCTGAGCTGCACGTCAGTGCAGCGGAGCATGACAGCCCCAGCCCCCCTTGCAACGATGTCTGTGACACTCTCGTATACGGTGGCACCCCGTGCTATGGCTCTCCACTGCACTCTGATGCAACCACCTCCCATCAGGCTCGACTTTTCAGAGCAGCTGGCAGCAGAGGCGCGGCTTGCGTTTGCGCGCAACGTGGCGCGCGGCGAGGCGGGTATCAACCTAGCGGAAGCTGCGCTGCAGGTTGCGGCTGAGGACGATGCCATAGGTGGGGGTCGCCCCTGCCTGCTGCCATATCGGCAGAATGGTCGGATTGGGTATGCGCAGCAGGGGTCCCTCACCCACTGCATCCCATGGGTCCCATTCATCCGCGCTGATGCCGCACCGCTGATGGGACGTGCGTTCATGTGTCTTGGTACCATCTAGCTGAGACAATCTTGTGCACACGCCTTCCCGCCGCCGCCCGTGGCCTCTTCGGCCCATTGCATCTGCAGCATCGTCGTCCACGGTGGCATTCCCAGTGAGTTCCTACATGCAGCGCATCAAACAGCTAGCGGATGAGATCGCGACTCAGCATCGCGCCGTCCCCTTGGCTTCCAGTAGCACGGACCCCAGCGGCAGCAGCAACGGCAGTGGCAGCAACACCAGCGGCGGTGGCGGCGGCCTGGCCGCGCTGCCGCCCTCAGAGGCTGTCGGAGCCGTGGAGGCGGCGCTGTTCGGGCAGCAGCGGCTGCGGCTGGCGCGGTGCGGCCGCAGCGCGCTGCCGGCACGGGCTCTGCTGACGCATCCGGGGACGCACGAGAGCGCGCAGCCGGCGTATTTGAACGAGGTGCGCGTGCGTCAAGTCAATGTGATTTGCAAAGCGAGCTTTGATACCCGCGGTCGGTTGAGTAATTGGTTTGTTTGCTGGTTGGTTGGTCAATCTCTTGCTCAGTAGAATTTGGGATTTGAGATGCTGCTCTTAGATCCTCCTCGCAGGTTGTGTGCCTGGTTTGCAGCTGTGCGCTTCGCAACGCGGGGTTGACGTTGCGTCCCGAAACATCGTCGCGTCTCTGCGCCATGCCCGTCACCTGCGCAGGTGCTCGTGCGGCGCGTCGGCCACCCTGCTGCCCTAGCTATCATACTTCACGAGGTGGGTGTTCTTTTGTTTGAGGGGCTTTGTCCAATTAGGGGAACGTGGGCAGGTGTTGCTGGTTTGTAGAGGATACCAGGACTGTGTGGGATGATGCTGCTGCGGACGGCCACGCGCCATGCAAACAGGGCCGGCTGAACTGAGAACCTCCTGATGCTGTATGTTGGCAGATCCTGTAGCTCCGATCTCTTGTTTGTTTGAGTTGTGGCTATGCATCCCACCCCATGAGCAGGTGCTGCAGCAGCTGCTAGTTTCTGGTGACATCACCGTCGCCGCTGCCGTCTCGCCGCCGCCCGGCTGGGCGGGCCTCCCGCGCGCCTACGCTCTGCCCCACCTGCCGCGGCACATGGTGCTGGGTGCTGGGACGGGCGGCATTACCCTGAACGCCTGCAGCAGCGAGGTGAGGTTGTCAGAGGTTGTGTATGCGCTTGGGTCTCCTGGCCAACTCATAATCAACACACTCGAGACGTGTATGCGCGTGCTGGGCGCGCCACACATGGGGCTTGCATAAACGAGGTGTGTGGGGCATCAACCGGCCTTTTTAGTTCGCACCAAACATCATGACTCTGACTTCATGTCACAACTGGCCCACACCTCAATCTTGTTTCCCGACACCCCCCCACACTCATACACACACAACCACAGGCGCTGGTCGAGTTGCTGCGCCATCTGAAGCGCGCCTACTGGCCGTTTCAGTGGGACACCTCTATTGACACCCAGCATTGCTCGCACGGTGAGCCACCTGTAAATTTGTATGGGAGCAACAGACAGGTTCGGCCCCACACTCCGCTGCTTTGCATATGACAGTCCCTAGGTGTAAAACACAGCGGCACAGCCCTCCCTGCTGTCCTGGCACGAGGCCCTGTCCCACCTGCTCACGCCATGTTGGTTCATCCCTCCCCACCTGTGCACCTACTGTGCAGGCGGCTTCAGAGGCGCGGCGAAGTCTGCTCTGGGCAGCGAGGAGGTCACGGCAGAGGTGGGTGCATGGAAGAGTGCGCGCGCGCCCATGCGTGTGCTTTGCTGGCTCAGGGCTGCCAATTGGGCCTGGCTGTGCGACACGGCAAGCCCTTGCATGCGTCAGGCCCCCCGCATGCAACATCGTTAATGCTCCCGCCTCACACAACCTCGTCAATGCGGTTCGGCTTGATGCACCCCGCCTCTTGCGAGCTCCGTTTCAAGGTCTGTGTTATGACCGTGGCATCCGCACACTTGAACACTGGTCAGCGTATCCCCTTGACAATCCTGACAAGGTCATCCTAGCCCCTCCTCAGGAGGACACCCACACACACGAACACACATGCAATGCACTTGTGAACACGCAGGTCCGCGCCATCAGCGCGACGGCGGCGCACCGCCTGCAGCGCGGCATCTGGACCAGCCCCGGCGCCGGCGACCTGCGGCGCTGCGTCGCGGCGTGCGAGCGCTTGGTGATGCTGGCGGGGGACGAGCAGCCGCGGGAGAGGTGCGCATGGGTGTGTGTGGTTGTGGAGGTGTGTGTTGCTGGCGCATGTTGATGGTAATTGGGGCAAGGAAGCGCTGCGATGGGAAAGGGGGGCATGCTTGTGGCAGAAGGGACCAGTGGAGGTTCCTAAATCTTTGCCGGAATGGCCTGCGCGTTCAAATGAGCGTCAGCGTTTCTTTTCAACATCCACAGCAACATCACATGATTTTTGACCTGCGCCGTCGCAGGCGTGATTTGGGGGTCTTGTATCTCCATGCGGGCCTGTTCGACGAGGCGGCGGCTGAGCTGTCAGAGTACTACCGCCGCACGACACGCCCGTCCGCCGCCGCGGCAGCCGCCGCCGCTGGTTTGACCAGTGAGGACCCGTTTGACCTCAAGCTGACTCAGCTTCTGCTAAAGCTGATCGAGACGGGGGGCGCGCCTGGAGGCGAGGCGGCGAGCGGGGTCGCTGCGGCGACGGCATCAGGGGCGGCAGCGGCGAAGGGTGGTGAGGGGGAGAACGCAGGTCAGCGTCGGGGGACGCTCCTTGCGGCAGGCAGCGCGGCGGCGGCGGCTGCGCGTGGGGATGCGTCAGTGCAGGGCGGTTTTGGGCCGCACGCGGCACGGCTGATGAGCGTGGAGAAGATTCTTGAGGCGGCAGGGGATGCCAGGGGCAGTGGAGCTGGGGGTGCGTTTGACCGCAGCAAGCTGCCTTTGACCTGGTGATCTGCGCTTCAACTTGTCGCGCCGCGTAGTGATGTTGCTTCTGCTGTAAGGATGCGAACCATATTACTGTCATCACTGAAGCAAAGAAGGCAGCCAGTTACTGAACAGTGCACGGGGCTGAATAGTTTCACAGGCGTCTGGCAGTATCGCTTGGCCCGTTTATTTGTTCAAAACCTATGAGTCGTCGTTTGAAATGCAAGCAGGTGTCGCTGAACCACATATCTGTTACGTGTCTCATTGACTTGCTAGTGCTGCGGCCACACCGTGTGGCCTGGCCCCTGCCGCCGCTCATGCACTTTGCAGCCAACTGGGGCGCGTCACTTAGCTCAAGCTGCTGCAGAGCGTGCAAAGCGCATGGGCGTGTCGCTGCCTTTTTGGAGAACGCCGGGCTGAAACAGAAGGAGTTCGTATGCCACGTCTCATGCCATTGATCGCTGTCGTAGAGGATGGAATCTCTAATAGATGTGACACGCGGGAGATCACTGTCAGGAGTTTCGCTTCCGTCAGATGTCCCCGCACGACTTTCGGCGGCTGAACAAAATATTTGTATGCGTGAATAGAGTTGGGCCTGCACAAGCCCGTGACTTGTGCTGTCTTACAACGCACCCCTCTGTCGTACGGCGTGCTGCTCGGCGCTCGTCACTGAAGGTGCCCGCAGCGCTCACCTCCTACAGCTGAATTGCCACTGTCAGCAGCATACCACCTGATCACATTGACATAGCGAACTCCAAGCCCCAGGCAGGCTGCCGCCGTCGTGCAACGCCGCCGGCACAACCGCCGCAACACCTCTTGGCGGCTGCTGCAGCTGCAGCTGCCCAGCCAACAGCACCCTGAAACAAGGCCATGGCGTCGAAGCCTGTATACGTGTAGCTCTGTGACAAGGCGTCCCCGCCGCTGCCTCACGGCCAGGAGCGGCTTCGCTCAAAGGTGGGGTGCAGCAACGCCCGCCCGGCGCTCGCCGTCGCGCCCGCGCCCCGCTGGGCGCCCTCGCATGCCAGCCCTGTTTGGACCCGTGCGCTGTCGCCGCCCATTGAAGCCAAACAAACTGTGATGATTGCCACCTTCCCCTTAATCCGATCGACACCCGCTTGATTGCAAACCCTATCAATAGATCAAGCTGGTTGGCACGGCCGTTGCCATTTCGATGCTGCTGACCTGGAGTGCCTGCCACCTGGTATGCCGCTTCCACGAGGGCCGTGAAAGCAACACACACCCCAGCAGCTGCATTCAAAGGGGAGGAGACGAAGCGCATTTCACTGGCGGGCGTGGCGAGCTCTGCAGCTCAGGCGACGCCAGGCACGGGGCAGCTACAGAGCCGGGGCCGGAGGTGCGGACGCTGCAGATTGAGGTGAGTCACGGGAAGGAATACGCATGCGTGCTCTATGGTATGGTGTCATGTGGGATAATGTGATGTGCGGACCTCGTTGCATGCAGGGGCGACAGAGGGCCAGGTCAATCTGGGTGGAATCACGATGCTCCCTTGTCGGCTGCCACCCTCGCGGCAATACGGGCGCTGGTCCCGCTGCCGATCCCTCTGTTTGCGGCGTCAGGTATGCAATGGCTTCACCAACCAGAAGATCTCCTTGCTGACAGGTGCCCAAAGGTCAAATGCGTTGCCCGTATGCACATGCATGCAAGCGGGTCCTTGATGGGTCAGAGTGTTGAAACTAAAGCCCCAGCAGAACACCCGCGACCTTCTTCTTCTCCCGCCTCCTCATGCTCACATTTCCTGCCACGATGAGGCCCTGCTACAGCGCATCCCCCTGGCAGCATCCCTCCCCACGTATCCGACCCACCCCCCCCCCCTCCCTCAACCCCGGCCGCCTCCATGCGTGCAGGTGTCGCGCTCGCAGCAGAGTCGAACCGCAGCTTGGTGCTGCCGGACTTTCTTCTGGCGGGAATGGTGAACTCGTCTCAAGGGCTCACTGCTCGGGACGCACCCACTGTGCCCTTTGGGTGCGCGGCCGCCGCACGCAGCGCATCCCGTTGCGACAGTTGGAATGCACGGCACTGGTCACAGCCCAGTCCGGCAGGGCTTGTGGCAGGCCCATGTTTATTTTGTGTGCTCGTTTATTACTGCTCAACCTCGTCAAGTCAAATTCTTCGCCCCACCGCTGCAGGGATTGGTTCGAAGTCGAGCCCTTTCTGTCTGCCCTCCGCACGGCGGGGGTGGGGGCGCTCCCGCCCGGCTGGTCGATGGCCCACCCGCCGCACGTCGCTATTATCCCGACAGACGCGTTCACGAGCGCGGACGACGGCATGGCGCGGGCGCTGCTGGCGCGGCGCGCCGACCAGCATGTCAGGTGTGCGTGCAAGGGTATATTTTGGGTGCCTGGGGCAACTGGATGCAGAAGGGTAGCAAGCAAAGCGTGCGTTGCTGACGGTACGCTCGGCATCAGGCAAGGCTGACCTGGGCGCTCTGCCCAGCACGTGTCCTTGCGACTCTGCTCGAGCTGCCTTGGAAAGTCTGTCCGGGAGGACAACTTTACTGGAGGAATGCGCGCCCTTCATTGACGATTGGCGCCAGGCAACCCCTTCCTTCAACCCTTGCAACTTCCCGTCCCTGGCCGGTGATCATTTTAATCCCCCAAGGCTGCACTGCCCCGGCCTCCGTGCCCCGGCCGCGCTCCTCTCCCGCCACCGCGGCCCGGTCGTCGCCGCGGCCCGTGCGCTGCAGCCGTCTCGCGGGCGCCTGGCGCCCATCATTCACGCGCGGCTGGCGCGTCTCGCCGCGTTGGCCGGCGGCGGCGGCGGTGGCGCAGCGTATTCTGCATCGCCACGCGGCAGCAAGACCAGGCGTTTGATCCGAAAGCGACCAGCGGCGCGAAATTTGGCCCCGCACTTCAACCTGCTGCACCTGCGCCTGGAGAGGGACTGGTTCGCGCACTGCGCAGAGTGGCAGGACCCGGCTGCAGGGCGCGACAACTGCGCGAACAACACAGACACGGTCGGAAAGAAGCTGCGGGAGCATGGATTTGAGACTGAGGTCGGTAGGGGCTGTGCTGCATGGCCGGCTGCGGCAGGCCGGCGGCCGTGCGGGCATGCGGATGGGGAGCGGCGGGTGTGTTTCCTTCCGCGTGAGGGAAGCACAAAAGCGCATGGTTATGTAGTGGAGCGTGCCAGATCGTCTGTTCCTTGCTATTGCTGACCTGCATCAGGCGGAGCAGCAATAGTGCTTGTGCGTAAATGGCTGGTCTCGTGTTCATGGTGACAGCCTGCGATGTCGGTGTGCGCCGTCGCTGCCTCGGCCTCAACAGATGAACCGCGCCGCGCTGCCCTCACCCCTGCGGCACCACCCACATATCTCCTCGCTTTGTGTGCACCCCGACCCGCGCAGGTGCCGCTGGTGGTGGTGACGTCATTCTCCCACGCCGTACCCGAGGCCCTCAGCGCTGCCCTGGCGTCCATCGGCGCCCACAATTATTCCCGCGTCATCGTTGGCAGCCAGCTGGCGGGGACGGGGGAGCGGCTCAGGCGCGGGGAGGGCGCGCTGGTGAGAGGATGGATGACGTCATGCTTTGTCATCCGCGACCGCCGGGCGGCGAGGGGAAAGCGGCAGGGAAGACGTGGCCTCTGACCAGTCACCAGCCCCGGGGGGGTCGGAGCTTTTTACACAATTGAGTACGCTTGACCCGCTTTTTACAGCTCTTAACGATAGACCCTTGTATGTGCCTGCTCTGCCATCCTCGTCACTGCAGTCACAGCCCGGCTTGCCCTCTTCTATCATGACATCATAATGACGTCATGATGCAGGTCGGGTTCCACCTTGGGCTTGCGGCGGCCAGGTTCATGGGCAACTCCGCCTCAACTTTTTCTGCCATGATGATGCTTGAACGCGGGTGGATGCTCCCAGCCAGGTGACCTTGTGCGCTGTGGGGGCATGAGACGGGCTGAGCACATTTGACATGACAACGCATGCTGGAAACGTTTCAGCAGGGGCAGCAGACACGCATGCATGGTTGACTCCGCCGATATGCGCAGCCGCAGGTTGCAGGGGCGCGGCAGTGGTAGCGAGGGTCCAGACCATTCAGACAATCAGTCATCATCATGAGTGCACATGTTATCCTCAATGTATGAACCACCGCATTTTTGGCCCGCGCTCGCAGGCACAGCGCTCACTACAACGGTGGCGGGATCCCCCTGTCATCCTTCCTCCCATTCTACAACTTGACCGTGATTTGAATGGCGGCCAGACGGACCGTAAGACACAATGTAGTGTGGCCTGCTGGGTATCCTGGCGAATGGGTGGCAAAAATCCATCCTTCCTAGTCGGGGCGGAGAACACCAGGAGGTTGGGGTCTGGCGCAGCGGCGTGCAAAAACCTCGTATTTCCTCAGGGCTGGAGCGGGATGTAGGTTCCAGCCTGGCTTTGCTGGGGGCGCCACGGGTCCCACGCAACGCAGTGGACGCTTTTCGCGACCACATACAAGTGCTGCTTATGAGATCACATGTGTACACGGCAGGGTTCCATAACGTATGCATACACACTCGGTGCCAGATGGCAATGATATGCGCCATTCAATTTGACGCGCTCGACGACATCAAGTGTACTCTTGCCCTTAGAAGCATCGTCTCTACCCTGCATTGGCAACGCGCCGTCACCGTGTGCCTTGCAGCAGGTCGTGTCTGGTCAGCGCCTTTCTTGGACTGCTGGACGCCCTCTGCAAGCTGCTGCCCCTGCCATCAAAAATCCCTGGTCCGCATCAACAGCTGAACCTCAATATGTTTACAGCAAGTCGACAACGAAATATTGTAATCTGTGGGCATGTAGTGCCTCGTCCTTTCATTGTGTTTTCAATGGACACGCAAAGTTCGAGTAGCTTTCTCCACTCCATGGCAATCCCCACTTGAGGTTGGCTTGATGGAGGCCTTGCATACTACATAGCACAATCACGCCGCGGTGGTGCAACAGGACCTCCGGTTCACTGATGCCATTGCAATATCATTCTGTAATGCAATATATGGTATGCAAACTAACATGTGGTGATGCACTGAAACGGGCATCACAAGAAACAGCGCACGCCTGGCAGCAATGACATGGCTTGACCAGGGGATTCCACACAAAAAGAAGCACACATATACACACATTGCGTGTATGACACACACAATTCACACGCACACACAGCCACACACACTTCTCAGCCGAGGCAAAGTGCCAGTGATGACGTCACTTGGCCACTCCGCTGGCAGGGGCATTCTTGAAACGTGGAAGCTGGGCGGCGTTCGGGCACCGCCGCTGGACGCCACGCCTGCCAACTCAGTGGCAGCGGCCGCCGGCCAGCGGGGCGTGGGTGCTGTACGCGCGGCCAAGGGCCGGTCTAGATGTGTGGCAGCGACAGGCATTTGTCATTCAACGACCAGGTACTGGGGGCTGGGGCGAAAGGACCTCACCCCTTCCCAGATTGTTATGCAATTCCAACAAACAGATGCAAACGCCAGCCAGCTTTCCTGGCGTGGTGCCACCAGCCACAACAAACACCTGGCAGCCACACGGCGGCGAGCCGGAGCAGCTGCCTAGCCCGCCACCTTGGCCGTCGGGCACCCAGTCAACGCCACGCGCGCCGTGGCCGCAGCGGCCGCCTTGGGCGTCCGCCCTGTCAGCGGCTGCGCGGCGGCCGAACCCGCCAGTTTGAGCGCGCCCGCCGCCGCGGCCGCGCACTGCGCCTCCTTGAACGGCCCCAGCTGCAGCGTCCAGGTATACACCTTGCTTTCGCACACCTCCGCCCCTTGCGCCGGCGGGGCGCCCCCGCTCGTCGCCACCTTCAGCAAGGCATCTGCACTGCCACTGGCGCCGCCGCCGCCGCTGCTGCCGCCGCCGCCGCCACCTGGTAGGCCCTCCAGGGCCCACGAGGCCGACACCGCCGCGCAGGCGCCGAGGGTGTCTGGCCTCGCCCCGTCCGAGGTAAAAGGCGTGATCTGGCTCATCGCGGCGGGCGACGCGCCGTCGAGCATGGCGACCGCCTGGCCTTCCAACGGCCCAGGCTGCGGCTTGGCCAGCTGCCAGCTGCAGGTCACCTTCCCGGGCGCCGCCGGCAGCAGCAGCCCGCGCCCGCCGGGCGCGGTCGCAGAAGGCGGGCAGTTGGCCAGAACGCGGGCGCTGGCGCCGCTTGCAAATATGAGCACGACGGACGGCCAGCCAGCCTGCGTGGGTGCCGGCTTGGGGCTCGAGATTTGGATGGCGCCACCCAAACGCCACTCCTGGCTCACGACGTCCCGCATGAACTTCGCTTGCACAGCGACCGCCTTCGCGCGGCCGAGCGGGAAGGGGAGCGAATTGCTCGGCCCAGCCTCGTCCTGCGCGCCGTCCTGCAGCAGCACCCTGGGGGCGTGAAGTCCACTCCATGCCGCACCCGCCTGTGCATGGTACAGCGGGATCTGTTGTTGCGTAGTCAGATTCAGCAGCTGCGCCGCAACCTTGAGTCCTCTGTGACTGCCGCTGCCGCCAGCACCGTGGATGGCACTGCTGCCACCAACGCCAGTGCTGCTACTACTGCCGCTGCTGCTGCTCCTGAGTTTGCGCCCGGTTGCCACAAATCGGCTTGGATAAAACCTAAACGCTCGCCTGCGAGGTCCCTGCATAAGCAACTGCGCTTGCTGCGCCTGCTGGTGTGCGGCTCCCAGCTGCTGCGTCGACTGTGGCGCCAGCGCAACCGCCTGCTCGTCTGCCAGTGAGATCAGCAACCGTTGCATCTCCCCGTCGCCGCCAGCATCGCCAACCGCGCCCGCGCCGGCAGGCGGCAGCAGACGCAATGAGCGGCCGCTGTCAGTCGACGCCAGGGTGGCGGTCCCAGCGCCTCGCGCCTGGCCCTGCGGCGCCTGCTGGCGCGCCAGGGCCTGCAGAAGCTGCTGCACGGCCTGATCCTGACTGATCGGCCCTGGCATCGGCGACGAGGCGAGCTGGGCGTCGCTGATGCTGCTGGGTGTTCCGACAACCGCCAAGGCAGCCTTCCATGAGTAAGCGATCGACCCAGATGGCGCCAGCCGCTGGATCGCCAGTGTCGGCTGGTCCGAGGTTGGCGGGCAGCCGGCGAGGAGCACGTCCAAGGTTAGGTCTTTGATGATCTCCACAGGGTCCTCGCCGCGGCCGGCGGTGGCAGGGGACAGGGTTGCCGTGTAAACGGTCTGTTGCGGGATCAGTGAGCGGGTGCGTTAGGGTGGGAGGGGTGCGTGGGTGGCATGTAAAAAGATGAATAGTGCATCATTACGCATGAACCAAGCGCCACAAGCTTGATTCCGTGTCACTCGCAGGTTGCGTGCGCTGGCACAGAACTGAGGTGCCAGGCAATCCCGCTGCAAAGCCTTGGCAAAACCAGCACTCAGGGCCTGGACTTCCACCCAGCACCCACCTTGTATCTGTTGCATTTGCGGTCGCTCAACGACTTGTAAGATGCCTGAAACGTCAGCGCGTTCTGCTCCTGGCACAGCTGCTGCCCCGGCCCCTCGTATGGTGGCACCCTGCTGCCGCTGGTGGCATTCGGCTCGATCAACGCCCCCGACGCCGCCGCAGCCGTCGCGTTCGAGTTCCACGTGGACTTGGCAAACCCGCCAAACAGCGACGCGCACTCCCCGTTGCTGCGCCGCGGCAGGCCGTCGCTCAGAAACGTGAACGCCTGCGGCGCCGCCGCACGCACGGCGCGCGCCGCATTGTCGCCGCCGCTCCCGCCGCTGCTGCTGCCGCCAGCCTTTGCAGGCTTGATCTCGTCAGCAATCACGACGACAGCTGTCAGCACGCCGGCGACGGGCGTGTTGACTTGGAATACGTAACTGCAGGTGACCGTGCTGCCAGACGCGCCAGCTGGCGCCAGGATGATGTCACCATTGTCGTCCGTAGGGCAGCTGCGTGGTGCGCCGATGTGGATGCGCGAGGGTTCGATCATGGCGAGGCGGGGATGGGCCAGCTGCTTGGGGCTCTGCACCAAGCTGTGAGTGCGTTCTGTGGGCCACATCAGTGCTGAGGACTGTTGCATGCTTATAAAAAGGCACGCCACAATCACCCACCTGGATCGCCGCTGCCCCTGGCCCCATATCTGCAATGCAACCACACCTACTCGTTGCTACAGCCGCAGACCCTGTGACAGTCAGTCCAAAACAGAGCGATTACAATGCATGTCCACGCACCTGGCGCTTTGTGACAGCACTGTTCTGATCTCCCCCGGCCGCACGGCTTCCAACCGCACGTCCCCGAGCCGCCAGCTGCTGCGCGTTGGATTCCGCACCACCACGCTGCCAGAGAGCTCGTAGAGCTTCCCCAGCAGGGTGCGCTTGGCCTGGCGGGGATACGGCAGGGGGGTGCACAATCCAACGGTGAGTTTCGAGAGGGGCAGGTTTTGCAGGGCGAGTGGGCAGTGTGGTGTGGGGGAGAAGTGGGGTAGGTGGCCTGGCAGGGCCGCGCTTTGACTGGGTGCATCAAGGGTGGGAGAGGAGGGACTGGGTGGTAGGGGGTTGAAGGAGGGGGTTTGGCAGTGCAGGAAGGTCGTTCAATGTGAATGCCGGTCAGTAGAGGCGTGTGCAACGGCTCGCATCTTGCAGCCGGGTGCGCTCGGCAAGAGGGGTACTTGGGGCAAGCATCAAACTGTACACACATGCTTGGGCGCGGCAGATTGCTACCTGCTGTTGCAATTTGAGGTTGAAAATGGAAGCAGCAAACAGAAAGCGCAGCTACACGGCTGCAGCGCCGAGGCAGCCTCACCTTGATCGTGATGTTCGCCGACGCCGCGCCCGGCCCCGGCCGGACGAGCAGCGTCGAGGGCGCCGCCGCCCCCTCCATCGCCCACGCGTGCTCCTGGACGACCACCAGCCTCGGGGCATCCAGCGCAGCCGTGGGTGCGCGCCCGGGGCAGCCATCGACGACGATTTTGAGGATTCCGAGGTCCGAGGCGGCTGCGTTGTCGGGCTCGAGGGCGCCGCTGGCCAGCACGCGCTGCGCTGTCGCGAGGTTGACGGCCTGGGATGATGGGGTTTTGGATGGTGGTGCGTGCGTGCGTGTGAACACCATTTGTGAGTGTGTGTGTGTACACCCGTGCGTGCGTGCGTGTTTGTGAGAGAGACACAGTGTATGTGTCAGGGCAGGGTGAGACATGAGGCATTGATGATTGAATAGGTGCATGCACGTGAAGTTGTTGCTGGGAAAACAGGGGAGCTATCTCTGGGAGACAGGGGATGGAGGTCGACGAGAGCACAAACGGCCCAGACTTCCTACTCCGCACGGATGGACACCCACGGGCCAAAAAACGCTTTGTCTGTGAAAGCTGACGCCGCGGCACCCTTTCACAGCCCTCCGCCTCAACAACGCAACGCCCTTGCTTGCCCTCCCTGCCTCCCTGCCCACCCGCCGCAGGCTCTGCTCACCGCGTACGTTCCGCAGTCCGCCGGCGAAAACGGACCGAACGACGCGGTGTACTCAAACGTGGCGCCGTCGCCGCAGATCTTTTGAGGGGGTCCCAAAGCGTCCGGCGCCTTGCCGAGATACTTTGACGTCCCCTGCGCCTTGACTGCTGCCCCGGCCGGCGCGACGCCCGACGGCGTGACGAGCCCCGACGGCCCGTCCTGCTGCGGCTCAAAGAACGCGTCGCCGGCCGCCGCGCAATCGCCGGGCGCAGGGGGCGGCGCACCGCCGCTGGGGGCGGGCGGCGTCGCGGGGTCGCTGAAGAAGGGGCCGGCCTCTATGTCCGCGCGCGCATACACTTTGCTGGTGCCTGGCGGCAGCGGGACGCCATCAAAGGCGCACGCCACGCTGCCGCCCGCCCCGGCAACGCCGGCGGTTGGCACCAGGCACGCCGCGGTGCCGATCTCGGTGTCGCTCGACGGCCTCCCGCCCGCCGCGTCCCCGGCGACGACCGCAAACAGCCGCACCAAGCCGCCCGCGACCTGCGCGGCTGACAATCCGTTGTTTGTCACCAGAACGCGCCCAGCCAGCGCCGCCTGGCTGCGGTTCGTCGCGTTGCCCGCGTACGCGCGGGCGTACTTCACCCGATACCGGACGGATGCGGTGCCGTTGTACCGCACTTTGACCATCTGCTTGTCTGGCACGACCTTGACCGACCACGCGTAACCGGCGGACGCGGCGGCGGCAGGCGGCGGCCGTGTCACAGTGAGGTTCTTCAGCTGCAGCGCCAGCAGCGGCGGCGGCGCTGGCGGCGGCGACGGCAGCGACTGCGGGGGCTTTGGGTTAGGGCTCGAGCTGGGCCCCGGGCCGGGGCCCGGCGTCGTGCCAGGCCCGACGGGCGCCGGCGGCTTGACTGCCGGCGGCGGCGGCGGCGGCTGCGCCGGCGGCGGCGCTGGTG